AGTTGAGCCCGGGGTGTTTGGGGACGTTTCTGAAAGCGGAAACCCCCTGTTGGATCTGGGGTTTGGGTTTGTGTTTCCACTCCCAGCTCCTGATTAATTCCTTGCTAAATATTCTGCGTTCAGGGAGCTCCTGAGGTATTTGTGGCTTGTGTTATCTGCCTCTGTGGCTGAGAAGAGGGAGAACTTAACGCTCTTACTTTTTAAATTTTAATATTAATGCAGAATTACACACTTTCTCTAGAGAGACTTGGTTTGTGAGTAGACAGACATTTGCTTTAGCATGTGCTTTTAGTCTTCTGCAAGTACTATTAAAATGGTTAGCTCTGCTCCATGAGAAGCTGTTTTCTTTCCTTGTTCTCCTCCCAGACTTCCTTCCTCTGACATGTGATGCGTGTGGGGAGGTTTTCTGTAAAGAGCACATCCGTTATGATGACCACAGATGTAACTCTGCCTACAAAAAGGTAAGTACTGACTCATGCATAAGAACTACAAAATTGCTTAGTCATGTGCAAAGGCTGCTCTGAAACTTGACCTGTGGTTTCAATAAAAGCACAGAGGACCACAAGATATGAGTTATGGTGCAGCTGAACTTCATGTTCATAGAAATATGACATTTCTGAGGTCAGTACTGAGAGGTTCCAGTTTATTTCACTTATACCAGAGGGGGGTGTGTTATCTTTTAAGTTATGTATCGTGGCCTAAAACTTTCTGCAGCCCCAATTCTCTAAGTTGAAGGATGGCAAACATGAAACTACAGAGGGAATAAATACAATAAGTGGGTCCAGACTTTGCTCTCTGGCTTATTTGACCTTTGAGGTGTTCAAAGGCTGTAATTCCAGAAAGCTTAGAAGCAGATTGAAAGTCAACTTAACAAATATGGTGCTACAAATTGGTTTGGCAAAGTGTGCCTGTTTTTCAGACAATGATTTGCTGTTACCTTTGTGGAGTGTTTCTTTAAAAGCATTAGTAAATGAGTAGCACATCAAAACTTTGGGAATACAGTTTCATCACCTGTGGGTAAGAGAAGAGAAAAGACAGAAAAATAATTGGGTGGCACTTGTGATCTGTGTTGTGTGTTCCCAGAATGTGCAGGTTCCAGTGTGTCCACTCTGTAATGCACCAATCCCAGTCCAGAAGGGGGAAATACCAGATATTGTGGTTGGAGCTCACATGGATAAGGACTGTAAATACAATCCAGCACAGCAAAAGCAGAGGGTAAGTAAGCTGCTGTTGGAATCTAAACTACCTGCTTGAATGCTTGTTTCCTGACAGCAGGATGTGAAGTGTGCTCTGCTTCATCTTCATTCTAAGGGCATCTGAGCCTTCCTGCTTCAGCTTGGCTGTTAGTTGGGAAGCTGATCACAGCCAGCAAGCATGGCCAACTTCATGTCTTCTGTTCTTTAGATCTTCACAAACAAATGCTTAAAGCCAGGCTGCAAGAGGAAAGAGATGATGAAGGTTGTGTGTGAACAGTGTGGGGGCAACTTCTGCATAAGGCACCGGCACCCTCTGGATCACGACTGCGCCGGGAGCAGCTGCCCCCCCTCCAAGGCAGGGTGAGCCCTAGTTATGGAATTTGAGCTCCAGCTGAAACTCAGAGCTACCACTGGGGATTGGTGTGGAGCTCAGACAAGTAGGGCATTATACAAACCAATGGTCACTGCAATAAAATAGCCACTTTTTTTTTTTTTTGTATTCTGGGACTAATTTTTGGAAACCTGTGAGGTAAAAGCTGCTTCTCTTTCTTCCTAAAATTCTTCCAAACTTACCTATCTTGATAGCATGATACTCAGTGTCCCCTAACTGTGAGCAAACACTGGCCATCTCAAGTATTTTTTTGGGGTCTGGATCTAAATACTTGAGTTCTAAAGTGTTTCTCAGCACCTTGAAGTTACAAAGAACTAAATTGATACCTTGCCAAGCAAAGTTCAACTTAGTTTTAATAAAAATGTCACTTGCAGGCAGGTGTACTTTTCTTATTCTGTGCAATAGGACTTTGAAACTTGTGTGACAGATCCAGATAATTGAACTGGATGGAAGAATGAAATTACTGGCACTGTGTGTAAGAGGTGCTGAGCCTGGTTGTGTTTTTTGTAGCTATGCAGCTCTGATGAGAGCCTCTCAATCTGCCTTCAAGTCAACGGGAGCGCTCGGAGTGCCATCTAATGGGAGTTCGCAGCACAGCAGGTATCATGGGCTGTAAAGCCAAATACCCTTGTTCCAAAGTAGTGTTGTGTCAACGTGGGGAAGTTCCACCTCTGGCTGCTCCAGAGGTGGTAGTTGACCTTGGGTGGGCATTGGGAATGTGGTAGAGGGGCTCTGACAGCACAAAGGTGAAGCTTCTCTGTGCTGTGGTGATGAAAGCAGCTATATGGACACAAGCATTGTGTCAAGTTGTTGAAGCAGCAGGTTGGTCTGTCACCTGCTCAGCGTGAGGCTTGGTCAAGTTCTGGGACATTGGTGTCACCAGGATGCTGAGGGAAGTCTAGCAAACACCTGAATGACAGCAAATGGCCCAAGCCCTTCCCTGCCATGTCCATCTCCTTGTGACTGAAAGTTGTGTAACTCTTACATGCTTGTGTCTTTCAGATGCAGATAGCAGAGGCTCATCACATCTGGATCAAACCTCTGTCTACTTTAAAGTTAATCTTGTCTATAGCTCTCAATATTTTCTTTGCAGTTAACTTATTTTTGTAGCAAAATTTTTTGTGCATTCAATAAACTGTCACCTTTTCCAAGCCAACTTTATTTGTTCCTGTATTTGGAATAAGAGCTGGAGTACTATGAAAAATACTTGATGGAGGAATCTGGGGAATGGTGGTAGGAGGAAGACTAAAATGAGGATGAAGCAGCCAGTTTTGCTTAGATAAGTCTGAACTGTGAGTTTCCTAAGATGAAAGTCTGAAATACAAGCTACTGTCTTCTGTCTCAATCCTTTTGGGAATTGCCTGGCACAGAGTGCAGCACCATGCTTTGTAAACAGCATCTCTGAAGCCAGTTTTCTATAAGCTGCCTCTTGGTTTCTGAATGTCATCGGAAGTACTTGATTTATAAAGCTATACCTAGTTTTTCTAGTCCCTAAGTAATTCCCTGAGGGCCAGTGCTCTGAGAGGCATGCACAGTATAATTCTTCACAATTTATTACCCCTTAAATAGAAACCTAGGTTTGCATGGGTATTTTTTTTGCAATTGGGGTGAAAAAGAAGCCAGAGAAAGTAGCATGAACTGTTTGTGTCCCATATGATGGAAATGAGGCCAAAATCCAGCATTGTCTAGGGAGGCTACTCTTGCTGTCTCCCTGAAAAGCTTGAACAAGTGAAAACATAACAGAGATGCTCCATCTATTATCTTGATCAGCTGTCTGGGCTCTTTAAAACTGCATCAATATCCAGCTGCTAAGCTTGGGGCCTGAAATATGGTAGGTTGATGGAATGGAAATGTGCTGTTAATGAACAATGCTAATTCCCCAGCTGGGCTCTAAGTAGACTTCTCATCCAACTAATTGTGAGACAAATGTCAAGGCTCACTGATGATGTCAGGGGGTCAAGACCTCAATTTCATGTGTCATTGGAGCTATTACTCTGCAGACTGTGGCTGGTGGGCTGGAGTGGTGGCTTAGGACTAACTGAAGGGTAATTGCAGTCCCCTGAATCACCTGCAGCTATGAGTGCCCAAAGCTGTTTTGCTGAGGTGGGAGGATGAGCAGCTTGCATAGCAGGGACTGTTGTGTTATTTGACCTGAGAAAAATAATCTTTGATACTGTAAGAGATGAGATCATAAGTGCAGTTGATGCATATGCCCTATATAACCTTGAGGTGTACTGCAGTTGTGCAAAGACTTGGGTGCTTTGTGTTTTTCTTGGTGAGGCTTAATTCTTTGAGTACAAAAAAAGAGGAAAAGTGGATTTATGGTCCTGCACCATATGGTCCTGCATGTAAACAATTAACAATTCTGACTTGTAAGCCTTTTATCAGAAAGGGCAGAGATAATGTAATTTACATACCAAACATACCAAAAAATGTGTACCATCCCATAGTCATCTTTGGCTCAGTGTGATTTCTTGTTACCCAGGAGAAGGTTTTGGAGAATGATGAAAGGTATTTGGAAGGCTGTAGTTGGCCAAACTGAACGTCTGAAGCTGGGAGGTAGGAGTTAGCACTGTTCATTCCATAGAGATGAATTTTATGCAATAGTGTGGTCAGGATTGTGATTTGACAGTGTCTGTAATACTGTGTTTGGCCACAGGATGTCACAATAGGATATGTAACAAACCAATTATTTTTAGGAAGTCTAAACATAGAAAACGTGCTTTCCCTATTCATGTTGAAACAAAAGTTTAAATTACAGCTCTAATTTTAGACACCACTACCTGCTGCTGATCATCCCGTGTGCCCCAATGCCAGGACTCAGCCCTAGTGTGTTGCTGCAGCACTAGGACTTCTGTGACCTTCCTGTACAACATGGAACCAGCCACAGGTTTCCACACAACGCTGTTCACCCCACTGGTGGTGTGGGAAGGCTTTTCCAGGGGGGAGAGCAGAGGCAGGTGCTGACCAGGGAGGTGGAACACAGATCAGAACTGAGAGGCTCTACCAGCCCAGCAGCAATGGGTGGGGGGCAGGAGGGGCACCCACAGTGCGGGGAGGAGGTGGGAGGGGAGGAACAGCAGCAGGTGTGACCCTGGTTTGGTGTGAGGTGTATGTGCCAGGAGCTGCTGCCACCAGTGCAGCATCTCAGCTCTTACTGGGGACGAAGCAAATGGAAATAAAACCTCCTGGTTCAGGTTGTCATGGAAAAAAAAACTCCCCCGGCTGTTTGTTTTCAGTAAATGTTCCTGCCCTTCGGTATCACGGGGGATGGAAGTGCTCGTGCGCAGGGATTTATAGAAAATGAGAACACGGAAACCAGTGTGTTCCCTGGAAACCCGGATCCCTGAGCTCTTTTCCCGCCCCTCCAACCGCAGCGGCCGCTTCTCCTCCTCGCGCCCCC